TAAACGATTTAATTGGGTCCAATTAAATCGTTTAAATCCGACGCCTCAATTAAATAATTTAATTCGACCGTAGGATTTAAACGATTTAATTGGGTCCAATTAAATCGTTTAAATCCGACGCCTCAATTAAATAATTTAATTGGACCGTAGGATTTAAACGATTTAATTGGGCCCAATTAAATCGTTTAAATCGTTTAAATCGTTTAAATCGTTTAAATTAATTTAATTGTGGTGGGAGGTGAATACAGACAGGCACAGAGCCAATTAAATTATTTAAATCCGACGCCTCAATTAAATAATTTAATTAGACCGTAGGATTTACATGATTTAATTGGTTTATGGCTTGGCTGAGTCCCCCCACAATTAAATTAATTTAAACGATTTAAACGATTTAAACGATTTAATTGGGTCCAATTAAATCGTTTAAATCCGACGCCTCAATTAAATAATTTAATTCGACCGTAGGATTTAAACGATTTAATTGGGTCCAATTAAATCGTTTAAATCCGACGCCTCAATTAAATAATTTAATTGGACCGCGATTTAATTGGGCCCAATTAAATCGTTTAAATCGTTTAAATCATTTAAATTAATTTAATTGTGGTGGGAGGTGAGTACAGACAGGCACAGAGCCAATTAAATTATTTAAATCCGACGCCTCAATTAAATAATTTAATTAGACCGTAGGATTTAAATGATTTAATTGGTTTATGGCTTGGCTGAGTCCCCCCACAATTAAATTAATTTAAACGATTTAAACGATTTAAACGATTTAAACGATTTAATTGGGTCCAATTAAATCGTTTAAATCCGACGCCTCAATTAAATAATGGGTCCCAATTAAATCGTTTAAATCCGACGCCTCAATTAAATAATCTAAATAGACCGTAGGATTTAAACGATTTAATTGGGTCCAATTAAATCGTTTAAATCCGACGCCTCAATTAAATAATTTAATTCGACCGTAGGATTTAAACAATTTAATTGGGCCCAATTAAATCGTTTAAATCCGACGCCTCAATTAAATAATTTAATTGCACCGTAGGATTTAAACGATTTAATTGGACCCAATTAAATCGTTTAAATCGTTTAAATCGTTTAAATCATTTAAATTAATTTAATTGTGGTGGGAGGTGAGTATAGACAAGCACAGAGCCAATTAAATTATTTAAATCCGACGCCTTACTTATTCAAAAAAATAGGGCGTAGGATTTAAACTATTTAATTAAGCTCTCTCTATTTAAATAGTTTAATTTATTTAAATAAGTTAAATTATTTTCTGCTTATTAAAAAAAGGAATGAGCTAAATAGACCCTAAAGGCTGCTCTTTCATATATGTATATATATTTAATATCTATATATGTAGCCTGAAAAGCTATTGGGTTCTCTTTGCAGGGAGCCCAGTGGTTGTCCAGACTGTCGATGCGCCTGCGTCCCAGCCGAGCGCTTCAGGCTGCTGGACGGCAAGTGGGACACGTTGCGGAATAACGACAAATTATGTTTGATGTTTACAAGAACGAAATGCTGTGTCTTTTTGTCGTTGTTCTTGTTGTTTTTGTTTTTTCCTCTCTCTCTCTCTGTATATATGTATGTTTTTTGATTAAACGTATATCTACATACCTAGTTGTTTGTTTCGCTTTTCCTTTTTTCCAAGAAGCATGATCTATGCAAGTACCAAAGGCGCTCCCTGAAAGGGGATCCTCTGGGCGCGGTCTCAGATCTGAGATGATCTGAGTTTTAGGATTTTAGGGTTTAGGGTTTAGGGTTTAGGATCGCAGAATTCCCTTGAGACCGCTCTGCAAGGTTCCAAGGACGCAAATAAAGAGGTGGAGTTCTGCCCAACGCCGATGAATACTGCTCCTCCGGCTTGGTTTAGGGTTTAGGGTTTAGGGTTTAGGGTTTAGGGTTTAGGGTTTAGGATTTTGGGGTGTCGGGTTTAGGATTCCGTCGGCCCTGCTGCTTCTTTTTCTGGCATGTGTGTCCTGACTGCTGGCTGGTCTGCTGAGCAAGGTTCACGTCATCACGCCGTACTCCAAAGTGTACGGACGCGCGGCTGAACTCATTGGCATTGAACTGGGGAGTGGCCTTGTTTGACATACTTCCTGGCAGGGCGTGGATCCAAACGGGGCTCCATACTTTCAACCCCCGCCCGTCTGGACTTCTGAGCTTCAATCAAAGGGCTAGCGCATACAAGAACAAAGCATCGTATCGCTGTGAGAAGCTGAGCATGTATAGGCACAGAATTATGACTATCTTGGACTCCTCAATTAGCTTGAGCTTCTTTCCCGATTGATGCATGGCCACAGGTACACACCCCAAGCTGCGCGCACCTGAGATTCAGGGTGTAGGATCCGTCGTGTAGGAGGCTGAGGATGCAGCACATCTCACAGATCTCACAGGTATATGATGGTATACCAGTGCCGAGCTTCAAACGCCGGGTGGAAGCTCTAGCTCCACAGACATGGAGTCAGAGTCAGTGCGTAGCAAGCACATCCTGCTTGAAGCCAGAAGCTCTCGGACAGTCAGCAGGGTCTTTGCAACATCGGAATCCTGGAACACACTGAGGTTCCACTACAATCGCAAGGGCGAGCAGGAACTAAACGACGCAGGGGTGGCAGCATTGATGGACGTCGAGGCCGACGCCGAGAAACTAGCCACCCGTCATCTAATCAGCACACGTTGCGCGACATGTGGGGGTTTTCGACAAATAGGGAACCCCTAGTACAGAACCCCCAAATAGTAGGATCCCCTTGTAATGAGCCCTTCAATAAGGTACCCCCAAAATCGTAAGCCCCCATGTAGCTACAGTGGCAGCAGCAGCACCCTAAACCCTAAACCCTAAACCCTAAACCCTAAACCCTAAACCCTAAACCCTAAACCCTAAACCCTAAACCCTAAACCCTAAACCCTAAACCCTAAACCCAAGTCCCACGGCCGAGATCACGCAGCTCAGGATGTGGACTAGACTCTACAGCAACTTCTCGGGAGGCTTTCGGCACGAGGCAACGCTCCTGAGGCTGTGATATGACTTGTTCTGCATCTTCATGTTTCTTGTGACTTAGGCTTTGCGCGAGACGCCCGTGATGCGTTTTGAGTTGTTCCAGCAGCCAACAAGTGTAGAGGGATTGAGAGGTGGGATGTTGATGCCACACACCCCGACAGAAGGTTCCCAGGAATGGTGATGCAAAAGTTGAAAGGATTGCGCATGCAGCCTATATACAGTCTGTTATATAACTACACATATATACAGAAGCATATGTCGAAGCTGCTTGTAACTTTAGGCACGACCCGTGTCCGAGTGAACCTTTTTATCTTCGCAAGTTATGTTTGGTTGAGCCACTCCGGCTGGCAAGGAGCTCCGATCTTCCCTGCCAGCACAGAAGTGCTCCCTGTTGGGGCATGGAGCAGATCGGCGAACAAAGGACGGTTTCGGGTTTAGGGTTTAGGGTTTAGGGTTTAGGGTTTAGGGTTTAGGGTTTAGGGTTTAGGGCAGTTTTTCAACTGTCTCCAGATCTGGTCCAGCCATCCAGCACGAGTTTGCCAACGATAGCATGCTCTCACGGTACCCCTGAGCACTCAAAGTGCCAGGCAGAGAGCTGTGATTATTTTCCCTTGGCCAAGTCACGCCCGCAGTCTTCATGAAGGCAGTGCCCAACGCCTAAAGCCTCAAGCCTACAGAGTCTAGATGTTCTGAGAAACCTGAAAGTACCCTGCCCCCCTGAAGCAACTCGAATGTAGGCTCGGGAGACTTTGACTTTGGCCTCCGCTGCAGCCGGGCAGTCGTTGGGGAGGGCTTATAGCTCCACGAGTCAACGCGAACCAACCGTGACCTTCCCTTGCAACCCGAACCCGACAAGCCCTGTAAGCCCCATATACCCGATAAACCCTATCAACCCCATAAACCGTTTAAACCCTACGCACCCTAATAACGCTATAAGCCCTGAACCACCATTTAAGCTGCAGCTTGACCGGCTTCGCTCCCTGCGCCATTCGCAGCGTCAGCGTTTCAACCGTCTCTTTCGCCGAAGCCACCGCGGCGGCACAAAGGACCGTGCGCCCAAACCCCAACTAACCCTTTGCACCCCCTAAGCCCTAAGCCCTAAGCCCTAAACCCTAAACCCTAAACCCTAAACCCTAAACCCGAAGCCGCTGCCGGAAGTCACACAGTCCATCAATCAGCCACAAGCTATGGTTGGAACCATGTTCCCTTAGTGCGGTCCCTTACCCTTGTTTATAGGGATCCGAAGTATGGCCCCTAACTACATATATATATATATATACTGTTTAGTATATGATATAAATCTATTATAGATGTCATACATATATATATATATATCTACAGATATATATATATATATGTATAGATATGTATATTATACAGTATAGAATGATTACCAAGAGGACCCCAAAATTTAGGGCCCATACCTGGAACCCCAGAGTTCGGCCATGAATGCTGGAAGCAGGGAAGTGCCCCAAGTCACCTACCGAAGGGAAGTCTAGAGGGTTTAGGGTTTAGGGTTTAGGGTTTAGGGTTTAGGGTTTAGGGGAGCGCGTCGACCTCAGAGGCCCTCTGCATCTTGTGTCATGCCACAGGCAGTGCAGCGGTCCGTGGCGCAACGGAGGGATCTGGATGCCGCGATGTGCGGGCAAGCTGAGGCTCCATAGGGGAACAGATACTTTGCCACTTTCAGGGTTTAGGGTTTAGGGTTTAGGGTTTAGGGTTTAGGGTTTAGGAACTTTCTCTAGCCGAGAGTCTGCCGGGAACAAGCAAGGAGCCTTAGAGAAGGTTACAACGAGAGGATGATGTGCTCGTCACTTCAGCCCGCCACCAAAAGCATCCCTGAAAACATCGGCGCAGCGCAGTCCGTGGAAGAACCTTTAACCTAGTAGCTGAGTGAGTACACACTTTTTTTTGGATACTATAATCCCCTATGGAGCTGAAAGTGTACACTTTTATGGGGCCTGTTAAATTATGAACTCAGCAGCGAAGTTCATGGCAGGCCCACACGGAGCGCCGTCGAGCTCTGGAGGCCAGCCTACAGGCGAGCACTCAGATCCTCCATATCGGCTTGGGCGGAGTGAATCTTGATTCAGGGTTTTAGGGGTTCGGGTTTAGGGTTTAGGGTTTAAAGGGTTTAAGGTTTAAGGTTTTAGAGTTTAGGGCTGAGGAAGGTCCAAGAATCTTGAAAAAAGGCATCATTCCCTCTTAAAACCCTCAGCCCCAACACCCGAAGCCCCAGCAACCCCACAAAATCCCCAATTCCTTGAAACCCAATAGCAGCATCAAACAAGCCTAAACCCTGAAGCCTAAACCCTGAACCCTAAACCCTAAACCCCAAACCCTGAACCCCAAAACCCTAAACCCTAAACCCCAAACCCTAAACCCTAAACCCTGAAATTGGATCCCTGAAGAAAGGATACACAACTGGAGCTCGAAGCCGCTGCGGAGAGAGCGGCCCTGGAGGTCGGCATGCAGGGGTGTTTAGGGTTTAGGGTTTAGGGTTTAGGGTTTAGGGTTTAGGGTTTAGGGTTTAGGGTTTAGGGTTTAGGGTTTAGGGGGATACCCTGGGGCTCGCACCGCGGGTAGTGCATAGAATGCTTGTAGCTTGCAAGGTCCATAGTTGCTTCTGTCATTGACTGTGGCATGCGAATGGAGAAGGTCTGTAGTGCTTCGATGAGAGTTTTTTGCTTCGTGTCTTGGGTCTTGTAGCACCTTCAAGAAACCGCGAGCTTCATCAAAAACCCGAGCCTCGCGATGGATCTGGTTAAGGGTTTCGGGCCTGGCCTTCAAACATCTCTCGAAGTCTTCAAAATCATGGCAGTAGCCTTCGGCGTCCTTAGCTAGGCTGTGAGAACTAAACCCTAAATTCTAAACCCTAAACCTTAAACCTTAAACCCTAAACCCTAAACCCTAAACCCCTTGTGCGTCCTCCCCTTCTCTTTGAGGGGCTTTGCCTCTGCCAGGCTGGACTCCTGGCAGGTTCCGCAGCTGCTGCTGCCGGAAACAGAGGCGACGTGCTCCAGGCGCGACAACCTTAAACCTCTGAACCTCCAAACCCTGAACCCTAAACCTCTGAACCTCTGAAGTTCTGAACTCTAACCTTAAACCTCTGAACCCTCAACTTTGCGGTTTTGTGGTCAGGAGCTTGCTGGCGCCTCCGTTGCTCGCAAAGCCGCCGAGAACCGAAAGCGGTGGCCGGAGCCCTGGCCGAGTAGCCGAAGCTGCGCATCCTGACAGTTGCAGTAGGGTTGACATATCGGGGTTTTAGGGTTCTAGCGTTTTAGGGGATGCAGTAGGGTTTACGTTTAGGGGTTTAGAGTTCTAGCGTTTTGGGCTTTAAGGTTGAGGGTTTAGGGTTGAGGGTTCGAGGGTTCAAGGGGTTGAGGGGGTTTGGGGCGTAGAGTCTTGGGCTTCAAGGTGTAGAGTTTCCCTAAACCCTAAACGGGGTTTGGAGTTCTGTGTTGCCAAGGTGCCGGGGGCTGATTCTAGAGTCTTGTCGAGTTTGCGGCGCTAAGTGCTTGGTTCGCCGGTGCAGGAAGCCATCGTTCTGTTTATAGGGTTTAGGGTTTAGGGTTAGGGTTTTGGGTTTTGGGTTTTGAGTTTTGGGTTTAGGGTTTAGGGGGGTCCTGAACCCCTAAACCCCTAAACTCCTAATTCCAAACCCCAAGACCCTAGCAGGTTTAGGGTCCTGGGCCTTACCTGTGAGGCTGAAAGAAGAGCTGAAGGCCGTGGAGGCACCAGCCTTGACGGAGAGTTCCGCGCTTTTAGGGTTTGAAGCTTTCGGGGTTTAGGTTTAGGGCTTAGGGTAGTTTAGGGCGGTTCCAGCGCCTGAGAGCGCAGAACACTCGTCCGTAGCTTTCCGCCTGCTCTGTGCCCTGCCACCCCAGCCCAAAACAGAACCCCAAACGGAAAGAAAAAAGTTGTTCGTAGCGCCCCGATAGACCTCCCGCAGTCTCACATGAACCCCAAACCCTCAACCCTACATCCTAAGCCCTAAACCCTAAACCCTAAACCCTAGATCATCGTAGTCCTAAACCCACAGGCCTACAACCCGAAGCCCCGCCTAGCTCCTCAGTCCGAAGATCCTCAAGCACCTGAACCCTAAACCCACGGTCCTATAGACCTAAACCCTAAACCCCAAACCCTAAACCCTAAACCCTAAACCCTAAACCCTAAACCCTAAATGCGAACAAGTTGCCAAGTCCGAGGCGCAGAGGCCTCCCCCAGCCGCAGTGACCGCGCCACTCCTGGAGATGCGCCGGGAGGCTGTTTAGGGTTGAGGGTTTCAGGTTTAGGGTTTAGGGTTTAGGGTTTAGGGAGGGTTGAGGGGTTTAGGGTTTAGGGGTTTAGGGTTTAGGGTTCCGGAAGGTCTGAAGGGGTTTAAGGTTTTCGGGCTTCAGGAGTTTCAGGGTTTAAGGGTTTATGGGTTTCAGGGTTGAAGAGTTTCAGGGTTTAAGCTTAAGGGTGTAAGGAACCAGGATTTAAGGTTTTAAGGGTTTCCGGGTTTCCGGGTTTCAGGTTGAAGGGCTTGGGTTTAAGGCATTAAGAGTTCCTCTTCGAATGCAGGGCCTTCTATGGGACAAAGACTCTGTACCGCATGGGGAAGAGTGCATGCCCCGGTTGCAGCGGAACTTGTTCAGGATTTTTTCAGAGGGTTGGCAAGGGGACCTACCTAGAACACCCAAAGCCTTGTTGTTTACCACTATTTACCACTGACTCCTACTAAGGGGCTTTTGCAATCCCACACCAACCTACGAGTGCGCTGTGTAGGCAGGGTTTTAGGGCTGTTTGGCCTGCAGGCGCGGGGTCCGAGGCTAGGTGGGAAATTGGAAACCCTAAACCCTAAACCCTAAACCCTAAGCCCTAAACCCCAAACCCTAAACCCTAAACCCTAAGCATGTGTATGGAACGAGGTTCAGCAGCTTCGTGCTCAACTGCACGCTGCCGAAGCTGAGCCGGGGACCTCGGCCACTGCAAGAGCATGTGAGGATGGAGCCCGTTCTACACGAATGGTCTTCCCTTATCCGGAACTTTTCCTTGTGGAACGCCTTAGGACGACGATGCCCCCCACACTATAGAACACCTTCGGGCCATGGGCTCGAGGCGGCGTGTAGGAGAGATTTCTGTCACTAAACTGAAACCCGAAATGCCCCAAGCCCGTTTATACCCCAAGTAGAACAGAATCCTCTAAAAGGATCCCCCCCAAAAGGGCACCCCTACTTTCGGAAGCCCCGAAATGCCCCTGAGCTCTATGTCCAAGGATGCCTACGGCAGAGGACTTGGATGCAACAGAGCAGGCAGACCTTCCGTCCACCTTCTTGACCCCGAATCTGCAGTAACTATGAACGGCGAGGATACCGAATCAAAGCCGGCAAGAACACTGCTGGGCGCAAGTCGGAGAACTGCTTGATAGTAGAAAGCTCCAATTTCCCTTTCCGATGTAGGGCTGAAAGGCTTCTGTGACGCGGGTGGAGGCGATTGTGAACACGAGAACCGATCGTGAACGAATGCGTACGCTGACGAGTCCTGCTTACGAGACAACAAAAGCCGGTCGACGGCTTTTGGGGTTTAGGGTTTAGGGTTTAGGGTTTAGGGTTTAGGGTTTAGGGTTGGCCGCCATGTTCGCTGACCTGCTCAGACGTAAGGCGGCTTAAGCTTGAAAGGCGAGCCAGACTCGTCTGTTGGTGGTTCCATTGCACATGTACGATGGTCAGTCAAAAGGACACAGAAATGCGACACGCATTGACAAGTCGTCTTCCAGATGAGTTGCAGAATCCTGTGTGTCACTCGTCCCCCAATACTGGAGAGTACGAGGTGCAGCTTCCCAGAGCTTGCGTGTGCTCCCTGGTGTTTTGAGGCAGCGCCACCTCTTCTTTCCATACGGGGCGCCCGGAGCTTCCCTGGATTCTGCTCTGCAACTCTGGAGGACCATCCGGTCGACCTGGGAGTACCTGGCAAGCAACTGATGCGTTGGAGATCCTTCGACTGAACGCCAAGCATCTTGTCAAAGCGCCTCTTCTTCTGTCCATCCGCACAAAGGGATCCTGCAGTATCACTGAGCTTGGCACCAAGCTCGAATGTGACCATGTCCTCGCCGCAGTGTGCTCGGAGCGACTGCGCAGCATCGCATCACTCCCGTTCTATGCCGCCTCGTGCCTGCTGATTTGACACGCCCACAGCGGTAATTACCACTTGCGCCGTTGGGAAGAATAGATGTGAAAAACAACGCAAGCAGAAGACAAACTTTGTTACTCCTTTCCACCCGCGAAAGCGTTTGAGGGAAGGGCGACACTGTCTTTGGAGTGCAACCTTAAAAAACCTTCCTTGTCCTGGCCATTGTTCCTCGCAGGCTCTCATATCATGGAGTTGTATGTGGGTTCATGTTTTCTACGGAGGCCTCAAAGTCCGCCAAGTCCCTCTGGCTTTCCTCGAGTTATCCCGCCGAAGATGACGTTGACGTTTGAGTTAGAGTTGTTTCCGAGCACAGTAAGCTCCAAGCGCTGAAGCTCGTTTAAAGCGCTTCCTCCGATCCATGTCGCTCTGCCGCAGGCCCCCCCGGAGATGGTACAGAAGGCTGCAGAAATCGCTGCAAGGCTGGGATCCCTTCAGAGCGTTCCTTTGAGCTTCATGAGGGTAGCAGGGAAGGGCCCGTGATCTGGGGATGGTTTGCGGTGGAGGTCGATCTCACATCTTCAGCATTTTCTAGGCTTCCGTGTGACAATCCTCCTTGGTCCCAGGGCGGCTGCCCTGAAGCGGAGTGAGCAGGTGGGGAATTGGTTGCAGCACGCTCAGATGACACGACCTACACTATCTTGCATCTCCTTGCATCATTCTTCTTCCATGTTTCTACATAGAAGTCTTAGTCTTGTTCCTACGTTATTGTGTTTGGGTCTAGTCAGGGTTAGCGGGGTTTAGGGTGTTGTGGGTCCCTCCGGGCGCTCAGAAACGTGACGAAATCCCAACGTGACGAAGTTTTTGGACCCTTGAGACTCTCAGCCACCACATCCTACACCTAAAAGTTAAGTTCTGCTGAGATCTTTCTTCCCCCCCCCCCCCCCCCCCCCCCCCCCCCCCAAAAAAAAAAAAAGAAAGGCAAAAGAGCACCAAAAACCTCCCCTTTCCGTACACCTCTGAGGTTCCCAAACACAAAGTTTCGCTATCCTGGTAGGCTGTGGACGCCAAACGAGCCGAGGCCGGGAATGCTCAGAGGGTTTCGGGTTTAGGGGGTGGCTCAAAAATCGACAGGGTTCAGGGAAGGCGGCTCTTAAACAGGGAGCAAAAGAAGATTCGCTTACCGACCCCACCTTTCGACCTCCTTCCCCTCAAGGGGACAGAATGCCCCTAAGGGCTCGGGGTTCTGAGCCCAGCCGCCAAGCTCGAACTCGAGATCTGGGGGAGTTCAGCGAGATCTTGGACTGCTGCAGTCGACATGGCATGTTCAGCACGATGCCACACAGACAGGGCTATGCCTGTTTCTCAGGGGGTTCTCAAGGGCCTGAAATGGCTGGGGGCTTCAGGGCTTTCCTCACCGCGTGAGCCTGCAGGTTAGAGCGGCCACGGAGGAGGCCGCCGCCACCATCAGCGGAGAGATTCTTCGTTCTTATAGCTATATCCCCCTTGGGAATATTCTTTATTTTTGTATATTTAAAACCCAAGAGGGTATTAAACATACTGTTTTTATTCAGGTTCTAAGGGCAGTATAGAGAGCTCCGCCCTTGTTTGCCGGGTGCCGCTGAGTAGTTGCCCGTGCAGTAGCATTGCGTCGGACTCGGATTCCTTGATTCAGCAGAGGTTCAACAAGGGCCGTTGTAGCCAGGCCTCCCTGTACGAGAGAGAAGCCATTGCTCGACGTGCAGAGTGCGCGTGGCCTCAGATCAATAATAGTAGGACTTGTTCGGGATGTGGAGCGGACAGTTTTCGAGATCTGCCTGTGCTGAACCTCCTTAAACCAGGTATTGCTATGTTGGGGTACACGAATGGTCTTCCTGTAGAGTCTGCGCATATCAGCACATGTCAGGAAAGCCAGCGGTGTTTAGATGCCATGCCCCGTGCGCATGATGGCTTTCTCTTTGGAGCTTGTTCGTGCGCCTTCGAACTTGCATGGACCGCAAGTCCGACTTATCCTGTGTCCGCCCTTGTCCTGCACTTGCAGTCGGTACAGCGGTATTATAGCACCCAATGAAGCACGACAAGGCTGCAGGTTAAGGCTGTTTAAGGGTTTAAGATCAGGATTGAGGATAAAGCAAAACCCCACAGTCAGCGACCATGATTCTGGTGGTCAATAGCAAGGAGGAACATGTGAATGCTTCACCTTTTTTATGTCCATTCATGGAGTTCGGCATGTTGATGCGCAGCTCAGACACTATAGGGCTCAAACTGGAGAGTCAGACTATAGCACGCTTAACCGCTCTAAGCCCTAGAGACAGCAGACGCTCGGCTGGGCTGGCATAACGCTTTGCTTGTGTGCTCCCCCGAACCACCAAAAATGAACTTGGCTTGTGGCTGCTTGGTACTTCTTTCTTGCAGTTTCTTGGAATGAACCCTAAACCCTAAACCCTAAACCCTAAACCCTAAACCCTAAACCCTAAACCCGTACATCTAAGGACCGGTCGTGGCCGCACTCGACACTTGTCAAGTTCTCGCCAAAAAGGTGGGCGACAGATTCGATACATCCCCTTGGGACCATAGCTGCTAAATAGACTTTGTCATGGTCTCAGAAAGCTCCCGCACCCGAAGCTCTAAGCTTCAAAACCCCCCCCACCCCCCCCTACAACAGGCCTGCCGTCTGTGAGGTTTGCGTGCGGCCCCCGTGGACGCCGCACCCGTCGGTGAAACCGACTGGGTAGATACAGCGCATAAAAGCGCCAAAGTGTTGAGTATACACACTCTTGACCTTCCGTTTCCAAACTTCCGTGTTTCTTCCCTGTTTCTTTGTTGCTCGGCGCCGTCTACTTCCTGTCTCACCACAGCAGCCATGGATTGCAGTGACGCGCGCTCCTCATGCCATCCGGCTGCACTGTGTTTCGTCCGTCCGAGTTCTAGATCCCCCTTGGGAATGATTCTTTAAAATGTTTTTGTTAATATAAAACCCAAGAGGATATTTAAAATAGTATTTTTATGAAGGTTCTAAGGGGAGTATAGAGTTACCACTGGTCGATTGCTTGGTCTGTTGAAGAGCTGCTCCTGAACTCCCTAAACCCTAAACCCTAAACCTTAAACCCTAAACCCTAAATCCCGGCAGCGGAAAGCCCTGCGACCGCAATGACCGCAAGGTGGCACCCAGAGCTCCGCAGACCTAGCAGAGGAAGCGGACGCTCGCATTGGGCAAGATTTTTGCTACAGACCCCAGAGGGTCCATTTGGGTGGTTGTCAAAATTATGGTCCCTTTTTGGATCCCTATGATAATACGGCACCAAATATTTAGGGTACCCCAAAAGGGATCATCATTTTGACAGCCACCCATTTGTCGTACCATTATGGAATTAGGTACCCAAAACCTTATTTAGTATGGTTTTTGGGTACTAATGGACCTCTGGGGACTTTAAGAGAGGGGCTGAAGAGTCACGCAGAAGTCTAGGATTGAGAGACGGTCGTGGCAGCTTTTGTGCTGAATCCGCAGGAGGATGCAACCGCGTATGCTGAATCCTCGGACTTCTCAAACTCCCAGTTCTCGAACGCCCTGAGCGCTGCCTTGCGGCAGTGCCTTGGCTCACATTCATGGGATTTCGTATGGGGTTTTATGGGAATTCATATAGGATTTCGAAGGATTCCCATGGGACTTCTTTCAGGGAACATACACGCAATACACTATAGGTCGAATCTCTCTGGCGGCATGACTGGAACCCTGAACTTCACCGGGGAAGCTAATATTGGGGTCGGAAGAGTCAGTAGTACTATTCCCTTATGGTCCCTTTGTAACTATACTATAGTAACCCCCCCCCCCCAAAACCCTGTTCTAATTATTAAGGCCCCCAAAGTAGCCCTAAACCCTAAACCCTAAACCCTAAACCCTAAACCCTGTAAGGTTCAATGGTGAGCCGCCTCGAACCGGTACTACCAGCGCTGGATCTTCTAGTGGCGTGGACGTGTTTCCGCTGCTGGAGGCTCGCGTGACAGTCGGAATAGTTACTTAGTTTTTCTGAGAACTTCCGGGCTGACCTTCAGGTTGAGGGTTTAGGGTTTAGGGTTTAGGGTTTAATTAGGGTTTAGGGTTTAGGGTTTAGGGTTTAGGGTGTAGGGTTTAGGGTTTAGGGTTTAGGGTTTAGAGTTTAGGGTTTAACGCAACAGCACAGCCAGAAGCAGCATCCTCGACATAACGGGCTTCAACATTGCTGTTTGCTGACTCTTTCAACCCCGCACCCCTCGTGTCTGCTGTTTGTGACTCCGTATTGTTGGATTTTGTTGGATGGCGGTCCTCCCTCATTCCACGTACATGGACACCCACATGCTACCAACCACACGAATGCAGACGCGCACACGCACGCACGCACGCACGCACGCACGCACGCACGCACGGAGACACGGAGACACGGAGACACGGAGGCACACGCAGAGACGGAAGCACTCCCACAAAGGAGCAACGGAGAAGGTATACTGATGGTTGTCTTTGTTGACCCATGTAGCTGACCCTATATCGCTTGATACCACCCGGTGAGGCAGCGAATCTTACCTGCGTGTGCTTTCGGATACTTCGGTTTTCACCTCGGCCCACTCCTTCTTCTCATCGCCGACAACGTACCACCGCTTCACTACATGCCATTTTCACCTCCTGACAGCACGTACCGTCACATACCCGCTGCTCCCCCACACAGCCCATATATAGAGACACCTACGCTTACACACACAGACTTAGACTCCGAGCTTACGTGCTTCGTCTGCATGCAGGCGAGTCGGGCCCGAGCGGGGCTCTTCATGGTAAACGTGCTTTTGCGAACTCTAACGCGCATAATTACAAGGCGTCGGACCAAGTTAAGTAGGCAACGAAAAAAGGCTGCCCACAGGTCTTCTCATACCATGCAATTATGGAAACATCTCTAAACCCTAAACCCTATACCCGTGGACAGGTTCCAGATGGGCATCAGAACCAGGCTGGCGAGCGGCGCAGTTCCCTCAAGCAGCGGTCAGGGGTTTGGGGGGTTAGGGGGTAGGGCCGGTAGGGTTTAGGGCTACAAGAACTCTGCAGTTCGGCTCAATGAAGAAGCGCAGATCTTTCAGAAGAGAGGAGCTGGGAAGTAAGTGCACTTAAGACAGGCTCCGAATAAACCCTAAACCCTAAACCCTAAACCCTAAACCCTAAACCCTAAACCCTAAACCCTAAACCCTAAACCCTAAACCCCCCCAAAGGCTTCGTGAAGACTGTCTGAAGCCTTGGAAGGCCCAGGATGCCGCTTCCGAGCTTGGGGACATCACGACTGCTGCCTGGATCCATGTAGTACTTCATTTACCAGAGTGTATGTTTTTTCTATGTACTCATTGTATTTATTCGTCTTTTGTTTACTTACCTTAGCTAAGTGTAGTAGATATAGATTTATACATCTATTTCCTTTTTGTTTATTTATTTAACTAATTATAGTATACATATATCTATATATATATATGTGTATAGATATGTATATATAAAAATATGTATAGATATAGATATAGATAGATAGATAGATATGTAATATATATATATATACATTTATTTATTTATTTATTTATTTATAAGTGAGTGAGTGAGTCGACCGAGGCACGTGCCGGCTGGAAGCACTTACCTGGCCTAACACAAAGGCGACACCTCCGGCCCGAAGGCTTAAAGTGTCAGCCCCCAACTAATACTATGCGAAGCGACACACAAACAAAACAAAGACGCAACAAACACGCGGAGACGAACGGAAAACGGCCCAGTCAAGCAAGAGGGCCTGTTACCTTCCGAACGAAGCAGTCACTAGGCAAGCCCGCCACCCAGAAACCGAGCAGAGAACTGCTCGGCTGGGCTAGGCCAAGTAATCACCGTCACCTCTGCAACGGGCAGTGCACGACGCGTGCCATGTCGGCTAGCACTCTTCTCCGCAGATCGATCTGCGGATACTAGGTGCCCAACGCGATCTCATGCACTCGGACCCACTCACGTCACAGCCTCAAACCTTCATTCAAGGCACACAAGGGTCTGCCTCCAGTTGTTCCCATGTCAGCACTGAATGAACGATGTTTCACTATACCAAAACGTGGGGAAACGAGTTTCCACATACTTCGTCGACGTGTCTAAATTAGCATCTAAGTTTTTTGCCTAAGACTAGAGTAGGTAACCTTTAACCTTTTTGGGGTAATAGAATCCCCGTATAATCCTAAAGGTTAACCTTTGGTTCCCCCAGCTTACTGGACAACTAAGTTTTTCTGGTTTGCCATTAACGGCACAGGACTGAGTCAACCGTATTCCCAAGCGAGAGTTTTGAGGGATATAAGGCGGAGCGTCATCAACCAAGGCGGAGCGTCATCAACCAAAGATAATAGCGCAAAATGCATAGCCAAAAGACAACTACGCACTATCTGCCCCAAACCCGAAACCCGAAACCCTAAACCCTAAACCCTACACCCTAAACCCTAAACCCTAAACCCTCTCTTACTATGTATATTTAAACCCTAATGACCTTCGTCGGCATATTGTTTTTTTCTGGGCCCTAAACCCTGACCCCCTTCGTCGGCATATTGTTTTTTTCCCCCCTGGTGGGCCCTAAACCCTGACCCCCTTCGTCGGCATATTGTTTTTTTTCCCCCTGGTGGGCCCTAAACCCTGACCCCCTTCGTCGGCATATTGTTTTTTTCCCCCCTGGTGGGCCCTAAACCCTGACGCCCTTCGTCGGCATATTGTTTTTTTCCCCCTGGTGGGCCCTAAACCCTGACGCCCTTCGTCGGCATATTGTTTTTTTTCCCCCTGGTGGGCCCTAAACCCTGACCCCCTTCGTCGGGTTTTTTTCCCCCCCTGGTGGGCCCTAAACCCTGACGCCCTTCGTCGGCATATTGTTTTTTCTGCTGGGCCCCCCTGACGCCCTGGGCATATTGATTTTTTTCCCCTAAACCCTGACCCCCTTCGTCGGCATATTGTTTTTTTTCCCGCCTGGTGGGCCCTAAACCCTGACCCCCTTCGTCGGCATATTGTTTTTTTCCCCCCTGGTGGGCCCTAAACCCTGACGCCCTTCGTCGGCATATTGTTTTTTTCCCCCTGGTGGGCCCTAAACCCTGACGCCCTTCGTCGGCATATTGTTTTTTTCCCCCCTGGTGGGCCCTAAACCCTGACGCCCTTCGTCGGCATATTGTTTTTTTCCCCCTGGTGGGCCCTAAACCCTGACGCCCTTCGTCGGCATAAACCCTGACCCCCTTCGTCGGCATATTGTTTTTTTCCCCCCTGGTGGGCCCTAAACCCTGACGCCCTTCGTCGGCATATTGTTTTTTTCCCCCCTGGTGGGCCCTAAACCCTGACCCCCTTCGTCGGCATATTGTTTTTTTTTCCCCCTGGTGGCCCTAAACCCTGACCCCCCTTCGTCGGCATATTGTTTTTTTTGCCCCCCTGGCGGGCCCTAAACCCTGACCCCCTTCGTCGGCATATTGTTTTTTTCCCCCTGGTGGGCCCTAAACCCTGACCCCCTTCGTCGGCATATTGTTTTTTTCCCCCTGGTGGGCCCTAAACCCTGACGCCCTTCGTCGGCATAATTGTTTTTTTCACCTGGTCCCCCCCCCCCCCCCCGCCCCCCCACCACCCCCCCCCCCCCCCCCCCCCCCCCCCCCCCCCCCCCCCCCCCCCCCCCCCCCCCCCCCCCCCACACCCCCCCCCCACCCCCCCCCCCCCCCAACCCTCCATCAAGTGAGGAGAGTTAGATGTCGGGTTTTGGGTTAACTGGACCTTGAGCTTGAAGCCTACTGGGAATGTATTGAGTGAACTTTGTATTTTCTCAATGTTATGGGTTTCTTGGGTGGGTGGGGTTTTATTCCAACGCTTGACAAGCTGCTTGACTAGTAAATGCTCGGACTTGAGATGCTGAACCTTAAACCCTAAACCCTAAACCCTAAACCCCCAAAAACAAAGCACGGCCGAGGTAATGGTCAAGAACGTACCAGTGAAGTGTGGCCAACGCCGGTTACTTCGCCAATTCTTGGCAGCGGGCTTTCAGGGCAAGCTGGACCGCCCCACCATGGGGGGTTTTTGGGGGAGGGTTTAGGGTTTAGGGTTGTGTGGGTTGAGGGTTTTGGGGAGCTCCTGTAGTAAGGATCACTATTTTGGGGGGGGGGGGGGGGGGGGCAGATTTCGCACCAGATTCACGCACCCCCTCTCCCCCCCTGTCGGTGGTTCATGATGGGTTTAAGGTTCCCTCTGTGATTCATGGTCGCCCCCTAGGGCCTGAGTTCTAATCCTTTTCAGATCTCCATAATCTGGCGGACCGGGTCTAATGAAAACGGCAGAAGGGAGCACGATTCAAGACGATCGCAAGCCAAATGCGCACAGGCTTCAAGCCGAGACCCGCAACCCTAAACCCTGCACCCTAAACCGTTCAGGACTTCATCTATCTACCCATGGACCCGCGCAGCCGGTCCAGCCGTGGCTTCGCCTTTGTGAACTTAACAAGCGTGGAGTCCGCGCATCAGTTTTACCGCACCCTGCAAGCAGTTGGTTGCGCAGTTGGTTGCACAGCCTGCCCAGTATCCTTCACTCCTCTAGGTTACCTAGTAGCAGAGTAGGTAACCTTTAACCTTTTTGGGGTATTAGAATCCATTTAGAATCCTAAAGGTTAACCTTTGGTTCCCCAAGGTTACTGGACAACTAAGTAGTTGCACAACATGTCTAGCATCCTTCACTCCTCCAGGTGAGGCTGTTCCACTGTAGGATGTGAGGTCAGGGTTGGATCGGGCAGGATCATGTTGAATCCCTGAAGCACGAAGGAATCCTTCTCAAAAGGCTGCCCCTCCCCCCCCCCCGGCCCCTCCTCCCACTTACCCGAGTCTTCCATAGCCCCTTGATGGAGCCGATGTGCGGAAAGCCGCCCACAGTGCACAGAGCTCCTATAGACCTGCTTTGCTGACAGGCACCTTTCATGGACGCTTCCTCAAGAATTACCCATCGGAAATTCCTTTGGAGGCCATCCCGCGCTGTTCAGGGGGCCTAGGGCCGAGGGTGTAACAGCTTCATTGTCTTACAGGTGAGGTGCTAAGATTGAGGGCTGAGGGTGCAGATGAGAGAAGCAGAGAAAGAGAGAAAGAGAGAGAGAGAGAGAGACTGTCAGAGAGACTTCCGCGAGTGTTTGTCCCAACGCTGGGATGCACGTCAATCTGCTACATCTTGTTGGCAGGTGGCGGTCGCAGAGATTCAAGGCTTTGACGCAAATGCAGAGCATTATCTGCTGGTCAAGGCACCATCACCCAGACCCCTATGAGAGCCCCCCGAATGTAAACCCTAAACCCTAAAACCCTGAACCCCCACGAATGGCAGAAATGAGAGCTTGTGATGCCTGGTGGGCCCAGGCCAGCCGCAAGGGGAAGGGCCGGGATGTCTTTGGCTGCCCGACATTCTTGCGCCCCCTGCAGAGGCACTTGCCACTCGGGCTTAAAAGACCTCCCTGAGGCAACCGAGTCTGCTTTTTAAGAGTGTTTGCAAGTATGTTTAAGTGCGCAAAATCTGCGACAGTAATACCAAGGGTGAACCACCTACGAACATTGGAGGACGACGTGGACTCAGATGCGCCGATAGGGCTCCGACACATCACTTAGCTCGCAGCCTCAGTTCGCATGCCTACGTACGTAAACCGGTAATCGGTAATCTGTTCCCCGAAGGCAAAACCGCTTTAAGTTTGTGAGTATACCGATTCTCCCAGACAAAGGCATTAGGTTCAGGTCTGAACAGGGTTTAGGATTCTGGCTGAAGTTAAGTAAGGGTGCTTTTGGGAACCTGAACTACAAGAAAGGCATTGCGATAGAAAGGGTTTAGGGCCCCAGATCCTAAGGCTTCCTTCGGAGAGGGTTCAGGGTTTAGGGGGTTACATCAGCGAGGAGCCCAAGCAGCCCAAGAGCAAGAGCTCAGAACGAGAAGAGGACCCACTGGACCATTGCATTCTTCTGAGGTTTTCAGGCTTTACAGGGTTCGCGGGCTTGCCATTATTACAGGTTTTAGGGTTTAGGGTTTAGGGTTCAGGGCGCGTTTGAGTCTCGGTTGGCACTCTCCAATTCTCTGGTAGGTCCGGGGTGAAGCGTCTGGCACATTCCACCTTTTTGTAATTGAAGGTTTGTTGAATTTGGGACGATACTGGTGTGACTACCCCATTGAGCTCCCTTCGCAGGCCAGCATCGCTGGCAGCCAAGACGGTCAAGAGTCGCCCTGGCAGCTGCGGGGTAGTCAGCAAGTACCTGCACAGCCCATGCCTCAAGCCGAACCAGGTATCCAACTATCCTGCGCTCTTCCTCTCCCAAACTCTCTGGGCAGCTACATGGTACAGCGATGTAGGTTTGTAATGGTGCTGTTGGGTTTTAATCCGGCATGTCACATCCGACAAATCCGACACGTTCCAATGAACATTCTCTCTAACCCTTCGGTGCCTGCGGGTGCATGCGGAATTGTTCCGTGGGTTCAGGGCCTCGATTGCCATGGCCTAGGTACCCCATGAGGCAGACAGCCGTCCCTCAATTTGGACAGCCGCTCCCTCAGGCATCTTGATGCGGGGCCAATCGGTCAATAGGTGCCAGCCCGAAGCCCCTGCTTACATCTCGTCGTAGTAGTAGTAGTAGTAGTAGTAGTAGTAGTAGTAGTAGTAGTAGTAGTAGTAGTAGTAGTAGTAGTAGATGTTCGTCGTGAGATTGGTGACGCAAGCTCTAGAGATTGAACTGCAAGCGGAAGCCGGCCATGGCGTTGCCATAGCCTCACTGCTCTACATCGCGCTCCTTTGTTTTCGGTTACAGTACCCTAAAGCAGGGCTGTAATTTCAGCTACGACCCAAGAGACGACCATGGAGAACTGCCTGAGATTCAACTGCTGCAATGCCTGCCCTTGTTGCCAAGGCCGCCGTATCTTCGGCACGAGTTGCCTGCAAGTGGAAGCCCGGTGAGGCACGACAGATCCATCATTGGTTCCCTTATTACCCCCCTCTATACTACCCGCCCCCCCCCCTCCTGTGGTGAAGGGTATTTAGGGTTAGTTGAGCCTAATTGAGGTTATTTGAGGGGGGAACCTGGTGGGGGGTAGGGGGGTAGTAGGGGGACCCATGAAGCCATCTCCAGTCTTCAAAAGGCATAGGAACTTCCGAAATTGGTTATTGTCCTCTGGCCAAGATGACGACCATGAATCGATTCCCACAATGGTTGTGGAAAGAATGGCCAGCGCACAGGAAGCGTGTATTTCGTGGTAGAGTCAGCCGAAGTCTAATGATAACTTCTTCTTGTGATATGTCCCGCGAACACCTCATTGCACAGCAAAATGACACAGGTCACGAGGATTCGTCATAATGTCGAGACCGCAAGTTCGATTCCGCATCTTATTTGTAATACTTTTCACCACCCGAGCAACCATCGCCCAAGGCACCATCCGACTGGAACTGTGCATCATGATAGTTCATGTATGAAATCAATTGAGTTTGACGCTCTAGAAAATCCAGCAGTTGCAACTTAAAGCTTGGCAAATCGACGCATCCCTCCAATCCAGGCCTCCTGTCGGCCTGGCGCCCACAGCCGAGCAGCTCTTGGCGTTTCCACGTGTGCTGCCCCCCCAGGCCTGGAGGGATGGGACTTTAACATAATGAATTTAGCGGGGTTCAAGCACAGGCTGTTCCAAGCACGGGATGATGATGGTTGACAACAGTCAGCTCCTACGCTACTCGCAGTTTGCTGATCGGCAGGCGGCTGGCCTCAAAGCACATGACCCCGAACTGTGCGAACGGTGCGGTCATAGGACCACCCCTGCAAGGGGGCTTGCTGGGGATCGACGTCACAACATTTTTGTTCTTCGTGATCGTTGCAGTCGCTTTTACATTGAATCATTGAGGAGTCCGTAGGGAAGCTAATCGCATCCCCCTATTCTTAAAAAACGGACGGGGGGCTCCCCCACCCAATAGAAACTCGAAATGTGTTTTTAGTATTAGGGGGGCGTTTTTTATCCAAATGTCATGTTTGGGGTCCAAAGGGTTTAGGGTCTGGGGCCTAGGGTTTGGAGGGTTTCAGTAACTAATGACTCTAACCCTGAGTGCGTAGAGAGCTCCACTCAGGCGGCAGCACAGCAACCAACACACACACACACACACACACACACACTCAAGCAACCTTCCTGACAGCCAATACTGGTACCTCCGATCTGCGAGCCACATCAGCTTAGACAGGCTAAGCCTGCTGTCACTGAAGTACATCATGCTCCTGAATACCTCTGATGTTTCAAACTGGTGTTGACATTGCAATCTCCTGGGTGTCTTGGGGCATGAAGGTGAAATGACGATTTTGTACCAGACAGGCCAGACACAAGGAATGGCATGTGCAACCTTGATGAGATGATGCAAACATGAGGTAGGGTCCTGCCTCGCTGTACCAGACTCAGAGGAATGGTACAACGCGAAATGAAGTGGACATGAACAATGAAGGTGAGGGCCCTGCCAGCTACTCTATACAGAGTCCAGGCACAGACCAATGCAGGTACGTTTACCTGGGGTGTGGGGCGGAGCTTCGATGGGCAGAGCCACCCCCACACCCCCTCTGCCCCCCTGCGCAAAAGAAATGAGGTCGACGGTTGAAACCCTTGGCTACAGGGTTGGACACACACACGAAGCCAAGAAGGCCAAGTTGCCTAAAGGTTTTATTGCACCGCTAGGATGCCTTGGGCACCTTTTACATCTGTGCCATGGACCCATGCGGCCCACTCTGCCGGCGCCTTAGGCGCACCCGCGGGACATGCACAACAGGACAAGCCAAAACTACCGCTTCCGACGACGGCGTTTTAAACGCACACGCTCGACGTCTGCACCTTTCGGAAAAAACGAATCCCGCTCACTGAGTTCTGATCGTCCTGTTGCCAGCTGTCGTAGCAAGAACTTCTTTTTTTCTGCCACTCACGCGGCTGCTGCTGTTGGGAGTTCCAGTTTTGTCCAGACCAAGACATGCTTGGAGAACAAAGGACGGGATCTACACCACTCGAAAAAAACGTCAACACCTGATGGCTGCAGGAGGGTAAGTCATAAAGACCTCTGATTTGCGCCTGAATACCACCGTACAACAAACAGCAAACAGCAAACAGCATCAACGGCCCTGCGCATCATCCAAGTCTGCAGGATGGGTCCCTGCTTCGTCATGACGAAATCTGCAGGATACTGCACGGGCCACCCCGCCGCAGGCAGCACTCTGAAAGACGTAGGGACTAGCCCTGCACTGCCTGGAACACACTCAAGCAACCTTCCTGACAGCCAATACTGGTACCTCCGATCTGCGAGCCACATCAGCTTAGACAGGCTAAGCCTGCTGTCACTGAAGTACATCATGCTCCTGAATACCTCTGATGTTTCAAACTGGTGTTGACATTGCAATCTCCTGGGTGTCTTGGGGCATGAAGGTGAAATGACGATTTTGTACCAGACAGGCCAGACACAAGGAATGGCATGTGCAACCTTGATGAGATGATGCAAACATGAGGTAGGGTCCTGCCTCGCTGTACCAGACTCAGAGGAATGGTGCAACACGAAATGAAGTGGACATGAATAATGAAGGTGAGGGCCCTGCCAGCTACTCTATACAGAGTCCAGGCACAGACCAATGCAGGTACGTTTACCTGGGGTGTGGGGCGGAGCTTCGATGGGCAGAGCCACCCCCACACCCCCTCTGCCCCCCTGCACAAAAGAAATGAGGTCGACGGTTGAAACCCTTGGCTACAGGGTTGGACACACACACGAAGCCAAGAAGGCCAAGTTGCCTAAAGGTTTTATTGCACCGCTAGGATGCCTTGGGCACCTTTTACATCTGTGCCATGGACCCATGCGGCCCACTCTGCCGGCGCCTTAAGCGCACCCGCGGGACATGCACAACAGGACAAGCCAAAACTACCGCTTCCGACGACGGCGTTTTAAACGCACACGCTCGACGTCTGCACCTTTCGGAAAAAACGAATCCCGCTCACTGAGTTCTGATCGTCCTGTTGCCAGCTGTCGTAGCAAGAACTTCTTTTTTCTGCCACTCACGCGGCTGCTGCTGTTGGGAGTTCCAGTTTTGTCCAAACCAAGACATGCTTGGAGAACAAAGGACGGGATCTACACTACTCGAAAAAAAACGTCAACACCTGATGGCTGCAGGAGGGTAAGTCATAAAGACCTCTGATTTGCGCCAGAATACCACCGTACAACAAACAGCAAACAGCAAACAGCATCAACGGCCCTGCGCATCATCCAAGTCAGCAGGATGGGTCCCTGCTTCGTCATGACGAAATCTGCAGGATACTGCACGGGCCACCCCGCCGCAGGCAGCACTCTGAAAGACGTAGGGACTAGCCCTACACTGCCTGGAACACACTCAAGCAACCTTCCTAACAGCCAATACTGGTACCTCCGATCTGCGAGCCACATCAGCTTAGACAGGCTAAGCCTGCTGTCACTGAAGTACATCATGCTCCTGAATACCTCTGATGTTTCAAACTGGTGTTGACATTGCAATCTCCTGGGTGTCTTGGGGCATGAAGGTGAAATGACGATTTTGTACCAGACAGGCCAGACACAAGGAATGGCATGTGCAACCTTGATGAGATGATGCAAACATGAGGTAGGGTCCTGCCTCGCTGTACCAGACTCAGAGGAATGGTACAACACGAAATGAAGTGGACATGAACAATGAAGGTGAGGGCCCTGCCAGCTACTCTATACAGAGTCCAGGCACAGACCAATGCAGGTACGTTTACCTGGGGTGTGGGGCGGAGCTTCGATGGGCAAAGCCACCCCCACACCCCCTCTGCCCCCCTGCGCAAAAGAAATGAGGTCGACGGTTGAAACCCTTGGCTACAGGGTTGGACACACACACACACACACACGCACACACACACACACACACTCACACACTCACACACTCTCTCTCACTCACTCACTCACTCACTCACTCACAGAGCGGGGAGAGAAGGGAGCTTCAGGATGTTGGTTGGTTTCAGGCTTTTGGGAGCCCTGAATCCCCCCCCTAATTCGGAATAGGGCTTAAAAGGCGGGGTCGGTTTCGGCAGGATTTTCCGGAAAGTGTCTTTGTTCTTGGGGGTACGTTTAATACAAGTGGGATGTTGTTAACTTGCAGCAACACAGCAAAGTGAAGTACCTGTCTGGACGCAGCAACCTGCGATAATGCACTACTAAGAAGTAATGGCTGTGCGAGCTTTTAGTCACGACCTTCAGGTGTAGCTTCGCATTCGTGGTGTAGCATTGACGTCCACAGCTGTGCGTGAATTTTGGCGCGAAGGCGTGAAGACCCGCTTGAGTTTCCGAGCGAAGACGCACAGGCGTGAAGACGCGGATCTTGAAAGGCAGACGCGAAGCGGCGAAGACACGAAGATGTCCACGGCGTCGGCGGCCATCAAGCAACAAATGGCGTCAGTCACCGGCATCGCCGGAAACCACGGTGTCGACTTTGTCAACGGCTGGCGCGGGTGATACGGACACTAGCCCAACCACCAGAGGGGCCCGTGGCATGTTGGATTACCTCTTGCAGTACAGCTGCTTTTGGCAACCACAGGGACGTCCATGCGTTCTTTGGGTGTAACAGGAAACAAACGTGCCCCAAGTGAGCGCCGAAGTGAAAAACTTGCGACGCAAGACTCAAGACACGCGGCTGGTCGCGTAAGCTGGCGAATCCTCCCAACTGTACACAGGAGAAAATTCGTCCTGAAGCCCTTTGAAAGTGCAGAAGCACTCGCCAAATGCTCACATGAGCGCTGCAAGCTGCAGACAGCGTACTAGAGCTCAAAAGTGGACATTCGTGTACAGTTTGAAGTCCACAAGCTCATGCGGCCTGTCCGAGAAAAAGCAGACATCTCTTTCAACGCAAAGCGTGGGCAATGCAAACACGGCTGTATCGAGTCTCGAAACATATGTAGGAGAAGGACGGTCACCCAAAGCAACCCAAGCCACCAAACCTCCGTGACAAAACCAGGCGAAATCCTCATGCACAGGGCAAACGTCAGTACGACGAGACAGGCCAGGTGCACTAGGAAACCAATTAAAGACCTCAGGCGGCACGGCAGTGAGTGATTCTGTCCCGCGGGTGCACGGAGTGCAAGAACCACTAAAACAGAAAAACCCAAAACCGAAAGCCCAGCGGTGCATTGAAATCGCGGGAGAGAGCTGAGAGCCAAAAGCAGGGTCAGCCGCACGGCAAGGAAGTGTAAGCTGACAAGAAACTTCAGCCCACACCCACCACATCAGCAACCCCCGGGCGGAGATCCTCAGCATCTTTTCTGGAGGCAGCTGGCGGGTTGGCATTGGCGGAACACTTGGACTCTAGAAGGAAATCCCTATAGGTCTCACTTGCTTTAGCCGAATTGCAAATGGCCTTCGCAGACCAAGCACGGGCGGTAGCAAGCTCCTTGTGCCAGGCAGCGCGCAGAGATCTAGTCCATCTGCGTTTCTGGGCAGCACCGGCCTGTTCATCGGCAATCTTGTTCAAGTTCCTGCACAAGGCGGCATCATAACCCCAATTTGGGGACCATTTGTCATGCCGGTCGTGTGCAGGGACCCACATAAAGCGAGTGGTGAGGCCAGACTCCTTAGCGGCGAGGAAGTTTTTGGCAATTTCTTCAAAGAGAAGCGGAAGGGCACTCCGCAAAGGACTTTCGATGGCGCGTAGAGCACTCTGGCAATCCACCAGCACAGTGACATTGCCAGCAACTTTGCCCACAATGGCAGCAAGAGCACTGGCAAGCACTTGGAGGGCACAAGCCTCGGAACGAAAAGCAGATTGGTCTTCATCATCGTTTCCAGAGGCGTGAGAGTGGATTCCTGTGCCCGCACGGATAACGATTGCATATCCGCCAACGTCCTCGAACGAGGAGCCATCGGTCGCAACAAGGATCTCGTCAGTGGTTGTGAGGGCACTGTAGAGGTCAGCAGCAACCTCGTCACGGAAAACATCCGCGTTTGGACCGGAAGGGGCAGGCGGGAAAGGCTTCAGAGGGGGAGCAAAAAGCCTCTCGCTGGCACGGTCGGTTGGGGGCGGGAGCCCCTGTCTAAGAGAAGCAGTGACAGGGCAAGTCCAAGTGAGGTGCGGGCGTGATGGGAATTTGCTGCCACAAGCACAAGAAGCAGCAGGGTCCTCTGGAGTGACAGTACGACACTTAACAGGGTTATGATACCAAAAGCTACCCCCCGATGCAGCGGCGGCACGTTTTTGGGCCAAGGTCCCCAAGCCGAAGAAAGCAGCCCGGTGAGCAGCAAAGTCGAAGGAGTGGCCTGTAGCGGGCGCAGGGAGGTCCAGACCACGAGCACAAGCCTCCTCGTCACGATGACCCCGCCGTTGGACCCGACGACACTGATACACGCCATCATCACGAAAAGCAGCGGTTAGCCACGACTTCAGGACGCTTATGTTAGAGAATCCAAACTTGAAAACACGCACACCATTAGCGTCGCACCGCGTGATCCCGCTACCCCCGGGCAGAATGGACCACCCCAAGCGATGTACAGCGTCGCGAGCAACAGGCATGACGTCAGGCCAGGTAACGAAAGCCTCATCAAGTGGAAGGTCATCGTACCAAGAGGGCCGTCTGACGGCGAATCGGTTTGCTACTTGCAACGCTGCAAAATCACAGGCAAACTGAGGGGACGACTCCCAGCCCAGGATCTCGTGCATAAGGAAGAAAGGGACTTCCTGTTTGAAAGCGCCACGGAAGAGAGCAGAGATCTCGTGTTGGATAGACCGAAGAATTTGTGGCTCAGGCATAGCCACACCGGCACACCACGTGAAGCACGAAAAGGCCATGCTGCGAATGAGAATGACTTTGCGGTGCAAGGAGATAGGAAGACACTTGAGGAACCTCACACGGAAAAGGACCTTGTCGAGGATGAGTTTGAGTGGTCTACCTTCAAGGGCCTCGACATCCAACGCAATGCCTAAGAAGTCAAGACGAGCAAGCTCTTGGTACCCACGTGCCTGAGCAAGGCCCCCCAGTCGGCCCTGTCCGGGTACAGTGACGTAGGCACATTTATCGCGCTCACAACGCAATTTGAAAGTGCTATCAAAATGGTCGGAGCGCGCAAGAGCGATTGCAGTGCTTTCAACAGGGCACGAAGCTTCTGGACGCGGCCAAAGAAGCCGGTCGTCGACGAAAATGAAACCACGGACATCGCGGGACAAAGAGCGGTGGCTCCAGGCATGGCCGACCGCTAGAGCGACTAATGGGGAAAAGGGGCACCCCTGTACGAAACCCCGAGAGACCCCGACCCAACCCCCAGCCACAAAGCGCCCAACTTTGAAGAGGCGGGTTGGACAGCGATAGAAACTTTTCAGGACGTGGGTTAGGGCATGAGGAGCTCCTAAATGGGCTAACACAGGGAGGACTGCGGGTAAAGAAAGGTGATCAAAGAAGTTTTTGAGGTCCTGTTGGATAAATTCTTTGGCGCCCTTTAAAATCGCCGCAGTGATGCGTAAGTGCGCGTCGGCGCACGAGGTGCCCGGGGCGCCTCCAAAGGCCAACGGCGTGATCCACTGATGAATCCAAGGCCTCAGCTTGCCTACGATGGCACGTGCGCCGATGCGCCACACGATCGGGCAAAGGCCCAACGGTCTTGTGTTGACCACCTTTTTAGGGATGAGAGCAACTAGCGCGCGAGACCACGTGAGAGGTACTGGAGCGCCAGCAATAATGCTGTTCCAGATTTGGGCTAAATTAGCCCACCAGTTGAGAGGCAAGCGGGCAAGGTCGTCGGCGCTCCAGCTATCATGGCCCGGAGCCTTGCCAGACATGTGCTTAGCTTGCCGAACTAAGTCCTGGGGCTCAAGGGTAAGCATGATTTCAGAGGCAGGGCACGCCGGTACATCCTTCAAGATGTCATTGATGTCATCCAGCCTGACAGGGTCATCTTCAGGATACGTCCACAATTTCTCCCACTTGGGGCCGTGCTCTTTCAGCACAGAAATCGGGTGAATGGCAGTTGCGACGTCCGTGACAGGCAGGGGCCTGGCTTGGAGTTCCAAAGCGAGATCCGCACGTCGACGAAGCCAAGCGACTTGCTTGTTCGGGGATTCTTGGACCATGCATTTCCAACGGAAGATGCGGGCTTCCTTTTCAGAGGTCACGTAGCTATCATATAGGTCCTGCACACATTGAGCAAAGTGCTCAAGCTGGGCCAAAGGCATGTGAGGCAACTCTGGCACTAATTTGCGCAGGCCACACAGAGAGGCCGATATGTTAGCGCGTAAACACGGATCGCAGGGATCATGGGAGAGTTGGACCAAACGGTTACGCAAGCGGCGCAAACCTTGCGTGCCGCGGGACTCCTGGCCAGAAGTAGCAGTCCTAGCGTGCGGGATTTCAGAATAGCCACGAGGCTCAAAGGCAGAAGAACGAGGAACAGCATGGTGGTTGGAGTGGGAGTCAGGGTCCTGCAGGGCTTGCTCAGCCGTATCAGAGAGGAGACGCCAGGCCATCTCCAGGTCATGCGACTGCAAAGCTCTATCAAAAGCTTCCTGTGACCAGCAAGCTGTCCACCTAGCATGGTCAGTGCAAGCGTCAGGTGTGCGCAAGGCGGAGCGCTTAGGCAAGACAAAACCCCGAAAACACGACGAGAGGTCTAGGGTGTAGCACACCGAAACGTGATCCCACGGTCCCTCTATATGTGAAACCTCAGAGGCAGAGACCCTGAAATCGGACACAGCAAAGTCAATGCGGCGCGTACGACGAGGGTTGGTGCACGGCAAAGCGAAAGGGAAAGCAGAGTCCAAGCAGTTCAGTGAACCCTCACATGCGTGACGAGCAATAGCACCTTCATCGTCAGTGGCATTCCAGTCCCCAAAGAGGACAAAACGTCCACCAAAGGATTTGGCAAAAGCCACGAGGGCATCGACTAAGGCATCCGTGGCATGTTGATCCCCTGGGTACCCATAGGAGGCAACCACTAACAAAGGGTACAAGGCGTCTTGGATGGAGACTTGTATCAAACCTGCTGCCGCACGGGCAGAGACAGTTGAGGGCAAAAGAACCGGTCTGATAGGGAGTCTAGAAACAAGGCCAACCCTATGCTTCTGGGAGCCAACTTCAGGGGAAGAAAGGACGAGGCTGCAACCGGCCCTGCGCCACTCCTTGGTGTAGGCCACGGCTCCAAAGGCATGCACATCAATTTCCTGCAACGAAATCAGGTCGGCAAGATTGTTATTGATGAGGTCAAGCGTGGCCTGAACTTTAGATGGGCCATTGCAGTTGACATTGCAAGTGAGGAGGCGAACTCGGGGGTCGCGCATCCTACGTGGGTGCTGAGCCTTAGATTGCGAAGTCACACCGAAGGCAGCGTCCCGAAATCCAACCCCTTAATGGCCTTCAAGGCAGTGTCAAAGGTTGCCTCTAAAACACTGGTCTCAATGCCATGCTTGAGAGGATAACGCTTGCACCAGGCACGCACCAGGCCAAGCTTGCGGATGGCTTGCTTGTTGGAGTGGAGGCCTCGCCCACAGTGAGGGCCATGCGCGCTAGCGTCGGTTGAGTTGTAGAGGCATCGCATGCACCTAGAGCAACGCCACGCCTGCTGCATGGAGACGGCCTTGGACTTATTCTTCCTTGTGCGGAAGATGGGCCAGGTGAAAGGCTGCATTCCCCTCTTTATGAGCTCAATGCGGTCACGAAACTTCTCAGCAATTGCAGCATTGGCTTTTCTGACACGGTTCGTCTGGGACCTGGATTGGATGCCAAGTGCACGTTGATAATCCACATTGGGCATGTGAGGGTGGGCTTTCTTGAGGTGGTTACGACAGATAGCACGCACGGTGCTAGGGGCGAGGGCCTTCCCGAAGGCCTTGCGCATACCGATGTCGCACTCGGGGCACTTCCAGTGGTAATGGTGCGGAGCACCAGGGAGGCTTTCAAGGTACTCAAAAGATCGCTTCTGGCTCTGATTCAGTCCAGCACCATTGTGGAACCCGGTCAAATGCTTCCACCTGACAGTATGGAGGCTGGTGGGCGTAACCTTGGCAGTAAATGAGCACAAATCGCAGCGGAAAAGACCAGACTTGGTGATTTTGAGAGGCTTCTGCCATCGAAAGGGTTTACGCTTGGGCGCAGGGGCAAGAGCCGCTCCCTCGCAGGGCTCTACGAGGTGAGTGGCATCGCTTTTCGTGGACTCTGGGCAAGATGCAAAACCACGTCTAGACCCACAACCCGACTTACCAACTGAACAGGAAATGGAGGCAGCAGGCACACCTACAGGCAAAATCTCTGCGTTGGCACCATCCACGTCCAGCAGGATTGGCTTCTGGCTCGCGCTTTTGTCGCAGGCTTGTCGTTTTGAGCAGCGAGTGTCAAGACTGGCAGAAATGCAAGAAGAAGCTCGCTTAAGAAACCGCTAACGAACTTGGGGCTCGTTTCGGGTTTGCCTTGGCAGCGCTGGCAGTCTGGCAGCTGGCTTCAGACATGACCGAAGGGGCTCGCCTGCGCACAGGTGTGTTGCACGAAGAGGCTTGACTACTTCTACCACCAGCCCGAAGGCCTAGGACCGGGCCGGCGTTGACCTTAGCGTAAGTGTCCGGGTATTTGGCTCCCACCTTTGGAACAAGCAGGTCGATGTGCTTATCTGTGTACCAGAGCACTAAGGTGCGAGGAGCTTTGCAATGCACAGCAATAGGCGAGAAGTCAACGCCCTGCGGCCACACTACGATTTTGACGTTGTAGATCCTGGCTAAGGCAATGAGTTCTGCCTCCCCGAGGAACACGCCGTTCTTTTCAATCATGCTCATATATTGCTGGAAATCCGTGGCTGACTTCTGTCCGCGCGGATCCAAACCATCCCACTCTTTTTCGTATCGTTCATGCTTGAGCATGTGCGTAACAAGCTCGGCTCTGATGACTCGCGGGTGGGCAGGCTGTGGTTCGCCAAGGAATTCCAAACCTTTCTGCACAGCATGTAGCATGCAATTCCCATCCTTGGGACACTCAACCAACTTGAGGTCCTCGGGAACAGGTCGTACCTGCTGGGCCTGTCTCTTCGGGGCAGACTCAGGCTTCTGTTGTTCTCCGGACTCAGCGGGGAGCTCAACTGACTTCGCAGCTACTGCCGGGGCCGGAGCAGCAGGCATGACCGGAACAGTGAGAGTACGGACAGGTCGCTGCTGGACTTGTTGTGGCCTGCTTGGGGCATGGGTAGCCCAAAGGGTGACATTGGCGCCAAGGTGCTCAACCACAACAGGGATAGGGTCACAATCTCCATGGCCTGCCTTAGGTTTGGCTCTAAACCTAAACGAAACCCACTGTTTCTGCCGGCGGTGGCTGAGCAGTTGGAGGTCTTCAAGGGACTCGGCCAATAGCTGCTGAACAGCTCGCTGATCCCATGAGGCTGGGACATCAGTGATCTGCCACACGCGACGGGTTGCCTCGCCGTTTCCCAAGGGTCTGCGGAAGCCAAGGCGGCCACCGGACACGATCAGCCCAAGGCTACTGGACAAGTTTGCAACTCTCTCTAGGTAAGCTTGCGGTTTATCGCCAGGAGCCTTGTCAACCCATTCAACAGCAAAAGGTGGGCCTATTCCACGAGGCGTCGAGAGGAAAACCCCATTGCGACCCGATACAGCCATCAAAGAAGTTAAGTCCTCTTCAGGGATTCTTGCCAAACCAAAGAAAGTCTCAAACTCGCCGTCCCTAGATTTCTCACGCACCCACCCGAAAGTGTCTAAGGCCTGAACATGATGTGAGGCGATCCAGGTTAGGGCGGCCCGAGCCGGGTTCTTCTCAAAATCGGTCCACAACTGCTTGTCACAGAAACGCTTGGCGGCCTTAATGAAGGCAACAATGCTCTTGGTAGGGTTGATTTTCACAACCTTGCTGCCTATCCCCTTCGGATGAGGAGCGGCCCCCAGGTTGCCTTCGGACACACACTGCACGACACGCGCTTGCCGAAACACTAGGCGGTCGCCAATCCTTCCGGGGATCTTCTGTGTGTCGGTCTTAGTGCCCTCCTCCGGGAGATGGACAGTGGTGACCTTATAAGGCTTCGTGGCTCCTCGAAGTATGGAGTGCACGGATTGGATCTGAGCAGCACTGGCAAACACAACCGCTTCAACCGACTGACCGGTAGGGGTGTCATCAACAAACTTGCCGAAGGACTCAAAGTTGACCAGTTGTCCTGACCAATCCTGAGCTCGAAGTTGAAACTCGCCCTGTGGTTGCTTGCGTGCGACGACCTGCCACCCTTCTTCAGGCTCAAATGCCTTGTGCGCCTCACTAAGCGTGGTACCCTTGCCATGCCCCTTGCCTTTGTTTTTGTCCTTGCCAGGTGCGACGTAGACTTGGCGAGCAGGAGGTTCAGCAGGGGTTTGTCCCGTAGCTGTCGTTTCAACCTGCTGTTTCTTCTTGCGTCGCTTGGATTTGGCCTGTGAAGGAGCGTCGTTGTCAGCAGGTCGTTTGTCTTGTCCAGATGCAAGCGTTGCTGAACCATCTCGTCCCGAAACTCCCTGGTGGGGCAAAGCTTTGGCAACTATCGCAGTCCAATCGATGCTCGCCAAAGCGATCTGCAAAGACTGCGTAACCGTATTTTGCACCATCTCTTGGATTTGTTTTCTGGTTTCCTCATCAAGAGGGCCAGGGTTGGATGCTTCTCCTATTCTCTGGGCTTTGAGTGGATCAAAGCTAAAACACACAGTGGGGAGTAGAGCAGTCAAAACTGTCCATCCCTCAAACCAGCCCCTCGGAAGCTGACCGAAGAGCAACATGTTGTACTTATCGTGAATCAGGTAATCGGCCTCGAGGCACTGGTCGCCGAACGCAATGTCCGCCCGGGTGATCGTCTCCTTCAGGTAAAGGAACTGGCCGCTCCGCGCTGCCGCCACGCCCACTGGGATCTGTATGTCCTTGAAGAGAATCGGCTCATTGGTGACGAGGTTCTGGCCGCCTTCCCCAGCTGCCCAAGCCCCATCAGGCTGTTTAAACCAATCCTCCATGTCCAAGTCCACATCGCCTCCATAGTCCGCCATGGTTTGCCAGTACGAGTCTGGCCTCTTCTCTTCAGCAAGGCCTGACGCCTGCCAATTGTCCCTCCATTCATTACTGCTGTCACAAGCACTGAGCCAGCCAGCGAAGCCAAGGCCCCATCTCGAGGATCCAGTCCAGAGCATGCTGCCAGGAACCCCAACACCTTTCCAAATCTCAGCCCACTGCCTAATTGCAGACGGATCAGCGACTTCAGCCCAGGCCTCCACAAGCCTGCCAGGCTGCTGCAAGAGATCTCGGAGAAATCTCTTGCTTCCCCCCTTCGCGAATCTCACTTGGCCAAGCCACTTTGGGTAGGAAATGGCGCTTCTTTCCTCGAAATGAGCCCTCATGGCTCCCAGCTGCTTTCTCATCCATCGCTTCCAACCACTCATCGTGCCTCCGGAGGATGGTGCCATGGCTCGCAAGACACCTACCAGCAAGACCCTGTTGGCCGCCTGCTAACCCCCAGGCGTTTTCAGCTTGGAACTCGGGAAGTTCGAGTCTTGAGCCCAAGCTCATGCGTTCCAAGTGCCCTGCTACTGTGTGGGCCACGTTCACTCCCATCGAGTGCCCGCTCAAAATCAAGCGTCTGCTCGAGGCATGAATCCAAAAGTAGCATATATAAAAGCAACGAACATTGCGAACCGTAGAGAAGCCTCCATGGGTGCCACCCAACCACTGACGGAGGCTGCGGATGCTACGGCTGCTAAGGGGAACATGCGGCCGGCCATGGTCATGTAAGTTTCTGGAAGGGTCGTCGCTCGAGCTCCTCCCAAAAACAAGACGAAGGCAACATTCCTTCCATTCCTTCCACATGCATCTTCTTGCTCTTGCGACAGAATTGCTGTTTCCGTCAATGTCGTAATCTCATGCGCAAGCTGCAGCACGGACGGACAAGTTCCGAAGACCAAGCAGAAACATGTAAACGGTCAGCATGACAGGTCAGGAGTTGCCACCTATTTGGATTGTGGCCACTGCTACTTTTTTTGAGTAGGCGCCGCTATCCACTTGTATGTCAGGGGGCGGGCATCAGCAGTCCAAACAGCCGAGATGTCGGGAGACGGCAAGTCCCAACTGTGAAGCCTGAAGCCCAAGGAAAGCAAGCCGGGCGGTAGGAGAGCCGTAAGGAGGCATCGATCACGAGTGTCACAAGCCCGTATGCGACATGGGAGGTCAGACTCATAGTATCTCATAGTGGCATGCACCTTCACGTCTTGTGCAACGAGCCCACACTGCCAGGCCCGCCGAGGGCTTGTGGACTCGAAAGGCTCTAAAGACACGGTGGGCTTAGTGCTGGGGAGCTCTTCTCGAAGGACCTGGAGCCTTGGCCGAACGCTTCGAGGACCGCAATCAAGTGGAGCGTTAGGAACAGCAGGGAAAACAGGGAACACAATGCAAAGGGCATCTACCTGCACAGCTGGAGAAGTTAAGGACAAAACGGAAGACCTTGAACGAACATTGTAATCCCAGAGCCTCCAAAAAGATACTCGGAGAAGGGAGGCGTCTGAGCTGAAGGACTGGAGACGGTGTAGAAACCTGCGCCTGTGGAGCCGGAATCCAGCGAGCTGCACAGGACAGGCTGCTGGGCGGGGCGAATCCCGAGTGAACGCCGTTGGAGCATTACTTGGCGCAACATGTGTGAAAATGCGCAGCACCGCCTTGGCACGCGGCACCGTGAGAAGGTAGTCCCATGTGACAAAAGGCGCAACACGGAATGTCAAACCCCATGTGCACGTAGGCTCAACAGTCAGGAATGTGATTTGTGCGTGCCTGCATGTGTCTATGGGCTGGGCAACGGAAGTCCCGCCAATGCATATGGGCGGGGACTGCTTGCTAGGTGTCGGGTGTTTCGCGGCACCGACAGTGCAAGCCACCCTTCAAATCTGGCCTCTGCGTATTCAAGCTGCACCTCGCAACACGGCCTCCCAGGACTCCAATGGCCCCAGCTCCTCACAGCAAGCCCTTCGTTCTGCGCATCCAACCTTTTGCGACAAAATTGGCGAATAAGTCAGATAGCACGGGCACGCGCTTTCGGCGTGACAGCACAAGCCCATCTAAGTTGAGACTCGTCCAGCTTTCAAAGGCGTTCCTCAAAGGACACGCCGGTTTTGTTACGCCTTTTGATGGGCGGCACGCCTTAGCACAGGGACTGAAAGCTTCCTCCCAGCGTCCAGCGTGTGTCAACTGCAGGGCTTGCAGGTCAGCGTGCAGGACTGGCGCCGACTCCGCAGTCGTCGGCAGCACCTCCGAAGCAGATCTAAGTGAGGGGGGGGTTTAATCCCCAGTGCAGGCAATCGGGCCAAGGGACAGACTTGGCCGTTCAGCAATGGTATGTCAACGATTGGTAATACGCAGGCCAAGCGCAGAACCTGGCTGTCGCTTGCGCGACATGCGCTTTACTTCTCGCCTCTCATCTAGCCTCCAGGGGGTTACCCCGATCAAGCCTTGACGAGGGGAATCTTCGGAGGTCTCGGAGTCTGAGATGAGACGCAACCCAAGCCCGAGGCATGCGGCATTGGATTTTTCGTGTAGGATGTCATAGGAACCCAACTTGTGAAAAGCATGAAGTTACCATAGTTTTCTGAAGTGTTTTGGATAGTTCTGGGCTGGTGCAGCTGGCCTCCTCTCTAAGCTGTAGCTTTGGAGGAACAACAAGCCATTGGCTTCAAGATTTCCGACCAGAGCCATGAAGCACATCCGGCAAGTGTGGCAAGTACCTTCTGGGAGGTGAGGAGGCGAGGTTCCTATGTCCGACAAAGCTTCGCCGTCAACGAGCCAATCCCAAACGCTTCAACACTTGGGAGGCGTGTTCATGTGTGTGAAACGGCACAACATGGCACAACACCGCCTTGGCACGCACTGTAAAACAGCACTTGTGACAAAAGGCGCAACACCCGAAAGGAGGGAGAGATCTGAAAGCGATTCGGCACGAGAAAAGGCTACCACAGCCTTTGTATCTTCATTGAAGCCTGATTGAAGCGAATGCGACGAGGACACGGCCTTGACTTGCGACAAATGTGCCACTGCCGCGACAGTGGCTGCCTGGACACTTGTTCAAAAAGGCTCGGCCGCTCCAAGAGCTGGGAGCAGAATGCACCTTTGGCCGGCCGGCAGGTGCTTCAAGCTGCAGAATCAACTTGCAAGGCTGTCGGCTCAAAGGGCTCGCATTCTCTGTGGATATCTCTCTGTACAGGTTAACCGGGTTAACTGGAGTAGGTGAATGAGCGACATTTTGAACACAAGTTTGAGAGCCAGGCAGCTCACTTGTGAACTTGTGAAGTTCCAGCTTTGCCGAGTGCCAAGTCATGCCAACGTTGGCGACCATGCAAATGAAGGCGCTGCAACACTGACGATGATACGGTACTGTGTAAGGTCGAACTCGCCGCTACGACACGAAAAAGCATGTCATAACAACATCGGCATCCCTCAATGAAACGCTGCTCCACAAGCCAGCTTTGCGTGTACGGTTTGCATGAAGCAGCATCGTGCTGTCATCTACACCGCACGACCCATGGAGCGCAAGCTTGGCGGAGATCGGGCCGTGAAAGGCGAATGATCTCCGATTCGGACGAGGCCGGTCCAGCTGCCAGAAGTAAGTGGTTGCGGCATAGGCCTTCAGATTCTGTAAGTTGAAATTTGTTGCTTGTTTCGACTTCCCCCCAATGAACGGCTGGGTGCTACGACTTCCGGCTTTCCTTTCCCCCCAGTGTCTGCCGCAATCCAAGAAATGGGACTTTGGCTTGGAGTGGCACACCAGGCTACAGCCGAAAACGTCCAGAGGTGGCCCTCCTGGACCTCCATGTCAGAAAATCCTAAAGGCAAGCATGCACGCGGTATCCAGCTGTGCAGCTGCAGGGTCCAGGGAGCGATAGTCACTGCAATGGGGTCGAGCCGGGCACTTGATGTGGGCTAAGTCTGACTCTGTGAACGCCTTATGCCTGCCGCAACATTTTTGTTACGTCTGCTACAAAAGCAAAGGGGTGGAGTTTGCAAGGAGCTTGGGAAGGCTTGGACAGAACATCCAGGGAATTCCAGGTGGCTGGTTTGCTATTGTTCCAGAGCCGCGATAGGATAGACTGAGTTGCAACGTCTTGCAGTATTTGCAGTACCAGTGGAACATGCAATGCTTGGCTTTGCATAGGTTAGCCAGCCTTTGCCTTAAGCTTAGCGGAACCCTCTTGGCCGTCTGAGCCGCGCCACACCTCCCAAAGCATTCTCTCAGCCGATCGCTGCCAGCCAGGCGTCCTTGCAGGCCGAGGGACTTCAAGTTTCCAGCGCAACATAGGCACGAACCATTCGTTCTCAAAGAGGATGCTGATGATGCCTAGAGATGGTTGTACTTGTAGCACGATGGACTTGAGCAAGCCTCAAGCTGGACCTCAAGCTTTCTTAAACCCAACATTTCGTATGAGACTTTGGCGCAGATTGTGTTGCTTTGAAACTGTTCTACTGCCTGCATGAGCGAGAAGTGTTGTGTGCGTGATGTGCGTGTTCTGACTTGGTCAGACAATAGCGGCATCGAGAGTGCATATGCAATAAAGATCAAATGTTGACCACGGTGAGCCTGCTTAAGCCACACTGCTGGATGTTGCTGGATGCCGCAAGGCTAGTGCAAATGCCTGTTGTCGGTGCCCCGTCCCCATCCGCTTTTGCGGTCACGTAGGTGAGGAAATGCGAGCGACCGGCAATGCACGAGCGATCACGAGCATGTGTTGTGTGTTGTGTGGGGCCTCACGGGGGGGAGCTTCCGGCGGTTGTCACGTTGCGAAGCCGCAACAGCCGCAAGTGATTATCATTCTAATCGAAAGTGCCCTTGTGGATCGCCGATCGTTCCCAGTCGGAAGCGAGCCGCACTGCAGACAAAGCAGCCAGAGTTGTCTCGGACGCAATCAAACCTCCGCGACAAAAGTACTCAGCGCTGAGTGGGGTGATGCATGTCATCCAGGCCATTGCCGGCTATGGTCGCACAGCTGCAGAGCCATGCTGCAAGGATTTAACTGGTGCTAAAGGGGCACGGCAAGCATCAATGCAAGAGGCAAGAGACAAGAGGCAACGTGCTCAAACACGCAGACGAGGCTCCCACGACTCTTCTTTTCTAGGGCAGAGGGTGCAGCCTTGAAGGGCCCTTGAAGCCATATATGCCTCTCCTATCCGGATTGTTGCCTCAGGTTGGACGAGCGCGTCAGATCCAAGCCCGGTAGCCCTGATCAGCCATCAATCCCAGGAAGACTTGCACCATGTCGAAAGCCTCATCCTCTGTGCTTCTCGTCTCTTGCTTGTGAATAGTTCTCTGCACACGTGGGCTTCCGCATGATGGTGCAGATTGTCACACATGGGGTTCGCCAGGCGTCCCTCTGCAGTTTTCTGCTCTGGCATCCTGACCCTTATGTTTGGGGGTCTCGCGTAGGTGTCACAA